AACCCCTCCACTGACATAGTTGCACTTTTAAAAACATGGGTTTAGGGTGTGTTTGATAGATATTATTTTGAATAGTAGATTGATGGAGAATGTGTGGTTGAAAAAGAAGGAAAAGTTATTGATGTGATTAAAAATATTATTTTATTGAAGAATGTGTGGTTGAAAATGAGTAGAAGAATGAAAATGAAAAAAATAATGTTTACCAAACATGGCCTTAATATTACTATTTTTTTTTTTTGGGCAGTACACAAAACATTTAGCGTGTTTGAGTTATATTATTTTGGAAGAATATATATTGTAATAGTAGATTGATAGAGAATGTGTGATTGAAAAAGAAAGAAAAATTATTAATGTGATGGAAAATATTATTTTATTGAAAAATGTGTGGTTGAAAATGAGTAGAAGAATGAGAATTAAAAAAATAATGTGTACCAAACAATGCCTTATTATCCCTTTTTGAACAAAATTTACTAAGAGCTTGNTGGAGAATGTGTAATTGAAAAGGAAGTAAAAGTTATTGATGCGATGGAAAATATTATTTTATTGAAGAATGTGTGGTTGAAAATGAGTAAAAAAATGAGAATGAAAAAAATAATGTAACTCAAACAGGGGCTTAATTTTGGTGTTTGTGAATACGAGTTCTGACCAATATTTAAAAAAAAACGTAAAAAAGCGAAATTTCAAGCTTACACGCTTAAGCGACGCCTAAGTATAAAAAAATATTTTCTTACTTTTAATATTATTTTAAATTTTTTATCATTTTAAAAATTATTTAATAATTAAAATTTACATATCAAACATCTAAAATTATTAATACTATATTTACTTAATAATTTCTATAATTAATCAATTATACAATTTTCAAATTTTCGAAATGAAAAAACTAGATTATTTTCATAGTTTCAATTTTTAACTAAATAAGTCCTACTTAATAGATTTATATGAACTTCATACATATTTTCGAAGTTTCAACAAAATAAAGAGTAATTACATAAAATAGATAGTATCGTAGCTTAAATATTACTTAACTATTTATCGAATGAAGTTATTTTTAACTTTTGTACGGATAAAATCTTTTGAAAATTTGATATTAAAGTCAAATGAAAAGTTTTTTGAAAAATAAAAAAATTAATATACTAAAGTCAAATAAAAGACTTTTTTTAAAAAATAAAAAATTTAATGAAGCGTCCCTAGGGAAGACGAAAGGAAGGAGGGAAAAAAATTCGGTCATTTAGGAATTGAAAAAAAAAGGGGGTCTAAACGCGAAGCGATGCGTTTTGCCTTAGTTTGGAGTGTGACTTCAATATTTTACTTTGGAGTGTGTGTGTGTATTAACTGAAAAAATGTATAAATGATCAATAGTAGTACATCCAGAGATAACTTAGAAATCCCGAAAGAAAAGGGTACGACAAAGGGAAACCACTTGCCACATTCGAAAATAAATTTTGCGAGTAACAAATTTTGAGCAGTGATGCTTTTTGTCTAAAAATAATTCTAAACGAACAGAACCATGTAGGCGATGTTCGTGACAGTGGGCCAACTGGCCCTATAATAGGGGGGAGGGGGGTTTCGATGCTTTCTCCTAGTCAATCATCAACAAAACCACGATAAATCTTATCAGGGTACACAAAGAATTGGAAATGCTACAATATCCTAACTTTGTGAATAGAATGATAGTTAGTTCTAAACACCTTAAGAGTGTTTCTAAGAAACTCTCTAAATATAAGATTCTATCTATTTTAGAGAAGTAATACTTAAAAATAAATTTCAACGGTCTCTCTATTTTAAAATAGAGAATGAATATAACTCTTCAAATTTGGAGAGTCAAATCCACTATCTATTCTTTCTTTATAATAATTGCATTTAATAAGTTAAATGTTTTTTTTTTTTACTTTACTCATAAATTAATCAAATAAATTTAACTATGATTGGATATGGACATAAAAAAATTGAGGTTGTGCTACATGTACATAACTTACATAATGATTTACCAACAGATGATATAACGATATTTAATTGGATTAAAATTTTATCAATCAAATGACTTCTCCATTTAAATTTTGACTTCTTATAATAATGTAAAATGTTATGTAAATAATTATGTACAAGAAATATTTTTCAAAAAATATGTTAATTAAAGATGATGAAAAATCAATAAATATTTTTTGAAAAAAAAATGAAGAGCCAAAATAGAGAGTATTTACTCTCTAAATTTAAAGGTCTCTAATATACATTATTGACCTCCAAATTCAACGAGATCCAGCTGTCGATAGATTCGATTCATCTCATGTCCACATGTATATTATTTGCACACTAGGACAATAGCATTAGATTGCACATGACTTTAACTCCAACAGGATGCGACAATCGCAGGTACTCCGAAGTGACAATGGAAGATATTTAGGTGTTAGAGAGACACAATAAACAAAAATGTCGATGCCGAGATGAACAGGGAATTACCATTCTTTCATTAGGATTCAAGATTCAACTTAAAATTATCTTTGAATGTCACTATGTACAAGTATTTATTGCCCATAGAGAACGGAGTCCATTAGATGTGCGACCCCATCCTAACATTTGGCTAGTCAAGTTTAATGTTGTCAATTCATAGTCGTCATAGGTTTGCGTTAGGCTGAAAAGTTAATTGATTGTGCAACGTTGCTGTAAAGCCGTCACATCAATTAACAAGTGTATGTGCGACATGACCGGTGCGAAGCATGTGGAAGAGGTCCATTACAGAAGATGTCATTCACCTTGGAATTGTACTGAAGGGGGAAAGAGATGTCCCCATTTGAAGGGCAGGGTACACAAATGCCAATGACTACCAAGATGCACATAAGAATTGAATCTTTTGATCCCCTTTTTTGCTATAATTCCCTGCATGCAATCAATGGGACGACTTAATAACTGGTTGATAAATGGTGGAAAGATACAAGCAGTAATAGTTCTATAAATTTATATAAGAAAATATAGAGAAATAAGAAAAGCCGCAAAATCATTGAGTAGAGTAAATATTAGGAAAATTATATATGTACCCGTGGGTTTACACCTCGGGTTACCCGACCCCACCGCCCCCCCTCACAATGAGGTGGGGCCCGAGGTGAATTAAATAATTGGAGGCCTCCCCCATTGTGAGGGGGGGCGTGGGGTCGAGTAACCCAGGGTGTAAACCCCTGGGTACTTGTAGCAAAACCCTAAATATTATATACACAGGAGAGAAATCCATATTCAGCAATTAGCGGTTGATATAAAAAGTAACATTCAATCTTGATTATATAATCTTTTCTGAGTTGGTTAAGTATTTTTGATAACATTCAATTTCCCACACCATAAAACAGGGGAAAAAATTCTCCAGCAACCCAAATTATATCGAAAACATCATGAAAAAAGTACCAATTTACCAACATAAAGCTCGTGTCTTGTGTTATGGTGGCAGTGTTAACATTGTTT